AAAAGTGCACATGTATCCTGTTTGAAGCCTCACATACAAACTGGATAACAGAAGAACCGACCGCTCTGATGAAATCTAGCATTCGGGGTCATTTGTGTTTCAGGGGTCACACAGACTCCAGGTATGTGTGTTATATCTCTTTCGCACACGGCACAAATTTCCAATTTCCCCTCCTTAACCTTAGGCAAGCAGCTACAGCTACGGCCCCAGCTGCTGCTCTGTCCTCCATCTAATGCTTCCACTTCCCGCCAAAGTCTGCGTTTTATAAAGAATCTCAGAGCAGAAGGGCCGGAGTCGGTTCTTGCTTTCAGGCTCTCTGAAAGGGAAGATTCCCATACAGCACCTTGAAAAGTTCCAGTCGGGTCTGCCCTGCAGTGTTTCCAATTTGTTGAGCTTAATCGTTGGCAGTTGAGCGTCCAGCTGGGTGAAAGGAAGGCAAACCCAACCGCATCAGAGGAGGCAGCGAGTTTAAGGAGTGCCTGACATCAGAGGCGGCGCAGACCACTGACAGACAACAAAAGCACATGGTGCCACATCTGGCTTCTAGTTTAACATGCAGTTTCCCTCACTGTACCCCTGCACTGTGATTATCTCTGTCCCACTGCCTTACAATGGAACAATGAAGATTGTTGTCTAAGGATAACTTTGGGAGACAGCAGCCCGGAGATTTAACCGCTGATGAATGAGGAGGAGGAGAATCAGAGCCACAATTTGATGCCAGGGAATCGAGGGCAGGGTGTCCTGGCCAGCTAAAATGAAAAGCATTTCTGAATGGCTGGGGAGATAATGGCGCTATCAGCTCGCTGTTGGCGCATTTTCTTGCTGTGCGTGATTCGAGGCTCTCTCGGTAACCCTGTCGGTGTCCTTGTCCTCACCCCCGCCACAGCTGGACCATGTGCTTCACAGCTGAGGTTTACTGGCAGAAGAAAACCACCACAAAGTCGAGAGAGAAGAGCGGGTTGCCCCTCCGACCGCACAGCGCTCATGCATGTGCAGACACATGCACGTTTTGTGGAATCCGACCAGGGATTCACTACGCTGCACGAATAGGGAGACCAGCATCCGGAATAAACAATACTCTAATTTAAACAGCGGGCATGCCCAGCGGTTAGAGGAGATGTCTTAGAGGAGTCATAAGTTCACAACGCGACAAGTTGGACCCACCTGCCTGCCTGTTGGGTCGAACTCGCCTGAAACATCTGCTTTCAAAACCTTCTTCAGGCAAAGTTTGTAGGCAAGGATCGAAACTTTCTAACGTGACAAATAGGTGACTAATTGATGAAAGCGTACACACCCGTCTCATGCTTACCTCCAGGGCTTTAGTCATTGGAGTTATGTACCAAAGTGATGAGACACACAAAAGATTTAATAAGAGTGAGTTCATCGCTCATTTCTCATTAAAGCTTTTATGCTTCAAGGGATGTTTTTTTCATTTTTACCTTTTCTGATCATGTAAGCATGAGCAGCTGCAGTTGGTGTTGAAAAATGGCTGGTCAAGCTAGCTACCAAGTGATGCAGCACTCTGATTGTGACTGTAAAAAGCCATTTGACATTTGGGGACATCACCATGGAGCACCAGCAGGGTGTGCTGGAGCTCTAATGCTCATAAAGCAAGCAGGAAAGTACCACTAATCAGGGCTTTTTAGAGTTTTTGTTTCGCAAAAACAAAACTAATTTGAATTTGTCGTCTCCTGCAGGACTCTGTTGATGAAAACGGAAGTCTGTGGAAAATCTGAATGAGCCATTTAGGTCACCTGTTTGCCAAAAGCTCCAGGTTAAGGTCGATTTTTTTGACTGCAATCTTAAGGCCTGCACCTCTAGAAACAAACCAAAAACCACAGAGAGACAACAGAGAACGCAAAAATCTCAGTTATAATAGCATGAATCATAAAAAAGAACAAATAAAGTTGAATTATTTGATTTTTTTTTTTTTTAAATTGAAAGAAAAAACTTAAATCAACATGTACAACATAGTGTTACCGATACTAAAAAAAAGATGACATGACTCTACATACAATAGATGTTTTAATATGTTTGCAAAGTGCTTCCGTGCTTTTCTCATACCTGCTCTGTGTAAACACTGCCTGCAGTTCAGCCCACTTAAGCCAAAAAGCATCAAGTGACTGCTGGTGGCAGCTGAGTCAATAATGACTTCACTGTTTGCTGAAGAGCGCAAATTGTTTTTAATTTTTTTCCTTTTTGTTTTTTTTTTTTACAGAATCTGTTTAGGGCAAATCATGAATTTTTTAGATTTATTTATTTTATTTTTTTAAAATGAGACATGTAGAACTAAATATCACGATTTTAAGCTTAGATTTGGATGTTTTCCTGACAGAACAACACATCAGATGAGACGTTAAATCAGATTTTTTCCCCCCGTTTTCACAAATCCTGACTTGGACAAATGGTTTTAAAATTAACTTGCCTTTCAATTTAAACATCAGGATTAAACAAACACCAGTAAAACAAGTGTATTAGTAAACAGAACAACATTCTTAAATCTTTAAACCTCAATTTAAGCTAAATTAGTTACACATCCTACCCATTGTTAGCAGCACAAACTCTACTCGAATGATGTGTATCGAGGTGGACAGCATCAGCCTCTGAAAGCTGAATCCAAACACAGAACACATGTGAAATGATCAGCTGCAGGGTCGCACTACCTTTGAACGGACTTCCAACTTCTTTGGAAACATCTGAGAACTCAAAACAAAGATGTTCAGACAACCTGCAAGAATCTCAGTTATGCATCTCAGAGTCTTCTGGTTTAGCCATAATAACGCTACACAAAGATCTATTTCCAGGGAACCTCGTAGCAAAAAGTAATACTGGAGTTCTGCTTTATGTCTTTGGTGCATCCAAGAAACACCCGACTCCAGAAAGTCAACAGGTGGATGTGTGTCTTAGATAAACGAAGCCCTGTTTTGCTGCACCACTTTGTGCGTCAGGCTGATAAGACAGGCGCCGTAAATGAGCTTAGTCCAGACTGAATCACAAAATCTCTGCTGCCGCACTCCCTCGATTTTGCAGCAAATAAGAAAAGCCCTGTGAGTCAGGGGGAGAGGGAAAAAAAAAGCCAGGTGAATCTATAGTGATTACTCATGGTCCCCAGTCGCTCTGCATCAGCCTGCCGCCACACGATCTCTTAAAAACTGAGCCGTTGCTGCGGTGGTGGAAACAGGGAGAGTGTCTTGTTTCTAAGGGATGAAGCATCATAACAAATATATATATCTCATGAAGGCTAAATTCACCTAGATGGATGTTGTAGCATCAACAGTAGGTACACTGACTCATGTATTAGTCAGTGTGCTGACTCATGCTGATGCTCCTCTCTTGCTTTTTTCCTGCTCTCATCTTGCCTAACCTCTCTCCACTTTATCCCTTGAGCTGCTGCTGATGTTTTTCCACATATCTGCTTAAGCCCTTATTACATTATCACGCTAATTGTGCTAATAAAGAAGCCTTAAAAGAAACAGCTCCCAGACGTTTGGAGGGGGAATAAGACTTCCCCCCCCACCTCAGCCTACTCTGTGGAGTTAACATCCAAAAGGTGAAAAGTGGAGCGGGTGGGTGCGGGGGTCTGTGTTGTGATTGCATCTGTGCTGCCTCCCTACCAGCTCAGACAGGTCTCAACTGGCTGCTCCTGCCACCTTCTGCAAGGGCCTGTCGAGTCAAAACAGCTGACATCATCCCAAAGGAAGCCTCACTGCAACAAGGTGAGACCCGGGTTAGAAAAATATGCTTTGATCCACACCGGAGGGGGGCGGCCGGAGGAAGGTCTGTCCACAGAGCATCCCCACAACAGAGGGAGGTTTTAAAATAGATAAAGGAAGGTGTCAGAGACTGTAAAAGTGTGGATTAGCATGTGTGGAAAGTTGAGGAGATGAGGTGTAGAAAATCATGCATCAAAATGGCTTTAAGGGAAGGAGGAGATGAGTGGAAACACACCATCTAGTTCTGTCTGGATCAATTGAAGCTCTTCTCCCAGCTACAGATGGAGTATATTACCTTAGACAACAGTGCCATCATGTGGTCGTCTACCGGCACTGCAGCGTGACTCATTTTATGCTCCTCCGGGATAAAAAAAATAAAATAAAATCCACATGTACATGGCTGTATGATAAAGTTAACACAATTCACCTTTATTGACTTTTTATTTTTAAAACCTTACAACAAATAAAGACAACAAGTGGTAGTTCTGGCACACCACAGAAAAGCAACAACAACCAGCATACTGAGAGCAGAAAATGTCTCTTCTTCTTCTGTTTTTTTTATCTGGTCCTTTAATCCGCTGCTGGAAAACGCCGTCTTCTGTTGGTTCTGAGAGCAGCTGGTACATTAAGTAAGTGCATGTAGTCGAGGGTTTAAAAACGAGGGGATGTGCACAAGTCTCCACAGTTTCGATGCCGCTGGTCCCCGTTTGGACGTCAGAGTTCCCCGCGTTGAGTCGCTGTCGTCTCGGGTGATTCCGACTCCACTGCTTCATCTAATGACAAAGTAAGGATGTTTAAACAGTACGAAAAGGTCAAAATGTGAGCCAATATGTTCACTTTTCATACTAAGCCAAATATTACCAATATACTCGTCAAAATAACACCATTTATCAGAGTCAGAAACTGTAAAAACTAAGAGAATGTTGCGGGAAATTAACCAAATCTAAGATAAAAATGGTTTGTATTTCGTCTGGATCCATTTTTTCTACGCGTCATTTAAAAATTGGTCAAAAAATAAACAATTGTACTCGTCAGATTCTAGTTACTTCGCTGTAACTGACAGTCACGTGACAAAAATTCAGGAACTTTTTTGGCTGAACTGGAGGCAGTGTTTACACAAAGCAGCTATGAGAACTGTAAGGACACAATAAAAATGTTAATAATTAATTATCTGTAAATTGTAGGGCCATTTCTTCCTGTTGGAAAAATCTTGTTCATGTCGATTTGAGGTTATTTAAACTTTTGTCAAATAAATCAAAGAAACTCAACTTTTGTTTTTTCTGTTTTAACGGTTTTTGGCATTAAAACTGTGTCATTACGCACAGACAGCAATTTTAAGTTCACTCTGCTTGTAATGATGTCGTTTCCATAGAAGTGCAGGACTTTATACTGCAGAGAAAAATGAGGCCACAGTGAGAAAAAACAATACACAATGTCGTCCACTGGTCTCTGATGAAGTTTCCAAAGCAAACAATGTAAAGAAGTGTTTTTAAAAAGTACATTCAACCAAAACAAGCTGCTTTAAAGCTCTCTAGGTTTTATAGTGGTATGAGTCAGGAGCTAACTAAATGAGAGCGGCCCTTGAATCGTTCCTCACCTTGCTGAGGTGTCTGGACGCATTCGCCGTCTTTCTCCTCGTAGCCGCTGGAGCAGACGCACACGAAGCTGCCTTCAGTGTTGATACAGTCCTCGTGCTCCTTCGTGCAAACCGGCTCTGACTGATGACACTCATCGACATCTGGAGACACAACAAAGAGAAGAAAGTCAGACTAGATTTGTCTAATCTGTTGTGTTCTACTTCCTGTTTTGTACTGGTGATGCTCCAAATAAGAAGTTTAAGGATTTTTTTTCTTGCACCAGAGCAGATTTTGNGTTTAAGGATTTTTTTCTTGCACCAGAGCAGATTTTGGCGAGAAACAATTATGATGCATCAAAACAGTCGGACCTCTATGAAAAAAATGGAAACAGGGCAATGTGGAGAAAAAAAATACAACTACTAACTCATCAGTTTCACTGCTTTGGGAAGCAACAGCATTAAACAGACATATTGTAGTTTATTTCTAGTATATTTCTCAACTTTTACATTATTTTTAGTACTTTTTTTTCCTGATTCCTGCACATCGAGAGCTGAGATTGACCGGAGTCACATTCCTTGTTTGCATGTACAAACTTGGCCAATAAAGCTGATCTGGTTCTGATATAGAGGAGCACTCTTTGTGTTTAGATTGAGCCAAATATCAAATCTAATTTTGTTTGCATACATGTTTATCTGTCCAATTATTTTTTTTCTCCATAACCCTCCGAACCACAAACCGGCTGACAGGATGAAAGGCTTATTATCTTTAAAAACCTACCTTTAAAAAAAACGTAAAAATAGGTAGAATTGTTAGATTTTCTAATTTCTTATGATCTGTGAACCAAGTGTAATAAACCAAATCTAAGCTTAAAATGATATTTAACCAAAATCAATCGATTCTACGTGTTTCATTAAAAAAAAAAAAAATAAATAAATGCCAAAAATACATAATTTCCTGAAACCAGATTCTTTAAATGGCTAAAATTCTGCATGTCTAGTTACAATAAAGAAGTCATTCGTGACTCAGCTGTGACCAACAGTCACATGACAAAAATTCTGACTTTTTGGCTGAACTGCAGGTAGTGTACAGTGAGCAAAAACAAGTACAGACAAAAAAATGCAAATGCAGTAAAAGTAGTAAATTATCTATCACATGTAGAGTCACAATTTTTCTTTTCCAGTATTGGTAGCACTTGTGGGCACTTGGAAAAATGTTATACATGAGCAAATCCAGATTCTGAAATCTTTGTTAAATAATTAATGGCAGAAATTCAACTTTAGTTTTTCATTTTTTTTTTTTTAAGGATTTATAGTATTCTAACTGTGCCATAATGCACAACAGACATGTTTAAGTTCTCTCTACTTCTAGTCATGGTTGTGCTGTTTCCATAGAGGTGCAGGACTTTATATTGCAGTGAAACATGAGCCCACAGTGAGTAAAAATGTGACAGAAGCATAACAATGTTCAGAGGGTTAAAAGGATTCTATTTTCAAAACTCTGTATAACTGATGCAAACCTAAAAATAAAGCCGAGACTGAAATTTTCATGCAGCATCCATGTTTTGTTTTAGTAAAAGTGAATGTGCTGAAATGCAGAGTCTGAAGAACCAACATTAAAACAAAGTCAAACAGAATGTGTTGAACAGTTAATTATTGACGTGGTACCTGTGCAGGTGCCCTCGGTGTCTTGGTACCCGCTGGCACATGACTGACAGTTATCAGGGCCGGCGCCGGTGCAGCCGGAGCAAACTTTGTCACAGGCTGTAACAGACAAACACACAGAGAAAAAAATGTGTTTCTATTAGATTTAAACCACAGAACAATGTTTCACTAAACAACAATCAGATGAGTCCCCTATTTGACAGAACATATGATGCATTTTCAGATACTTTATGGTCCTGATGGTTGTCAGACTCAACATACTCTAGAACCAAAAAGCAACACTGAGATTAAATGTAGGTGTTTTAAACTGCATATGGCAGCAGTCATACACACAGTGGTGATAACCTGACTGCTTACAGACTGGAAAGTGCAAACAAAGTGATGAAGTGACACTTAAGGCGCACTTACCTTTGCAGGAATACGAGCCTTCTGTGTTGAGGCAGAACTGGTCTTCTTTACATGGTGAAGGGTCTTTGGAGCATTCGTTCACGTCTGCAACACATCAAATACGACCACTGGTTAACATTCTTTACACCTTTAACCACATTTAAATGAACAACATGTTCCAAGCATGCTTCCATCATCAAGCATTCATCTTCTTTGACACTGAAAATTCAAGTGTCAAGTCCACAAAATTAACTAAAACCAAGTGTTCGTTTCATTAAATGCATTATATTCATCACACGAGCAACTTTTTACATCATGTAAGGATAAATCTTGCTGTGCAGACAATTTCCTGGATTGAGGTTTATTCATAATTAACCTTTTGAATCTTAAAACCTACTGGCGGCTTCATCAAAACTCATTTATTAGAGCTGGAAACAACAACAATCATCAGACTTTCAACTTTCCGATGGTCCTTAAACTCCTCATCTGGTTCCTTCGGGAAGATAAACTAAATCTGACCTGAAAATTATGATAGTTCATTGAAATCACAATCTATTCTACATGTGGCATTAACAAAAACATCAAAAATAAACCCTCTGAGGTAGAGGTAAACTGTAAAGAAAAAAAAAAATGCACTTGTTGTCGCAACCAAGTGACTCAGCTGCAACCAGCAGTCACGTCACAGGTTGTGTAACAGAGCGGATAGACGGCAAGGATGGGAACAAATGAATAATAAAGTAGTGAAATATTTTTGCATTATGGTAACATGTGTGGACACTTTCCTGAAAACTGTTGTCCATGTTGATGCTAGGTTTCCATTTAAAAGATGGTATTCAATGAAGTTTGGCTTTCGTATTTTTCTCTGTTTAGGATTTACGGCATTATTTTTATGTCCAACTGCACAGAAGACATTTAAGTTCTCTCTACTTCTATCCATGGAGATACAGGACTTCATATTGCAGTGAAAAATGAGCCCACAGTGAGTAAAAATATGTCAAAAGCAGAAAACACCCAGACAATGCTTTAGGTTAAGAGGGCTAATCATAGAGGAAATTGATGTTTTTACTTTTTACACTCTTCAAACAAAACATCAAGACTTTAAGATTCAACAGTCTGCTGTATTTATGCTGCAGCTAAAAAAAAAAAAAACATTTAGTCATTGCATTCATCTGAATTACTCCATTCTTGGCTGAAGTAATGGTTAATAAAATGTTCTAAAATAGTGAAAAGCAGCCGTTACAGTCTTAAGGCAAAGAGGAAGTCTTGAAATGTCTAATCACCAGTACAAATTTTTAAAGATATCTAGTTTACAATGAGGGAAACCAAAGAAAAACAGCTTATTTTCATGATTTAGAAGCTGTAACCTGACAATATTTTATATTTTTTTTACATTTGCTTCATTACACAAGCTGCCAGAATGCTGAACTGCTGATGTAGATATGCAAACACTTATTTAAATTGCTCTACGTTATTGGATCCTGAAGAAACTCTCTCTCATCTTGCCTATACTACTGTGTATGTACAGCAAAATGACAATAAACTTGATTTGATTTGATGAAAACAGGTCTGATTAACTGATTACCAAAAGACTAAACAACAACTTACTGGTGACTAATTGTTCAGTCAACCATTGTTCATCTCTAAAGCCTTCATAACTACATACAGGGTGACTCTTACCAACACAAGCCTCCTGGTCGTCCTCCTCCCAGCCTTCCTTGCACTCGTCACAGTCCTGGTGTGTTGCTCCTGTGCAGGTCTTGCAAGAAGTGTGACATTCTGCGGAAGGAAGTGAAGCCCAAATTCACAATCACAACACATTTGATAATCATCTCTCTGGTTGATCGCCTGTACGTTGCACCGAACTTCACCTGTGCACAGAGAGAAGGTGTCGTTCCTCTCTTCGTTGAAGTATCCGTCGCTGCAGTCGAGGCAGAACTCTCCCGTGTAGCCGTCGTTGCAGCTGCACTTCCCGTTGCCACCTCGACTCCCGTCACCGTCACACATTCCATTTCCGTGACAAGGTGTCTCAGAGCCTCCGACACAGGCTGAGAAGAATGAACAAAAACACAAGTCTCACTACACACATTAGTGGGTTTAAAATACAGAACACTTCAAGCAGTTTGCCAGAATCAGAACCTATGTCCACGCTGGATAGAATTTTCCTCACCGTTGCAGTCGGGTCCGAATGTCCCCTTTGGACAGCACACCTTGATGGTCTCTATGCAGAACCATTTATGCAAATCAGGATGTTTCGTTTTCCTGCATTGCAACAGGAAACACAACAGGAAAAGATGAGGTTCACCACATCTTATCGAGTGAAACAAATCTTTTCAAGCACAAAAACTCTGTCAGCGTGCACAGTCGTCTGGCTGTCAGTGGCCACGTTGACACTTAAGACGATGTTTGCATTAACCAACACCCACCTCTTGAACCACCAAGTCTCAAAATGCTCTTCGTGTTCTTCTACCATTCGGTTGCACTCGAAGCTGCTGCTCTCACAGAGACCCTCCACGATCTCCATCAGACGGATCTCACTGTGAAATACGAGAGACAGACACTTACTAAGAAATAGGGCACAGGAATAGGAAGCTGAAAGAGAGGCGACACCACAGAAAACGTGTGATAAAGAAGGAAGCACAGGAGTTCATCTGTGTGTTAAAGTTTCAGAGAAGCATTTGAATCCACCTGAAAGTTACAGACACATTTCATGCATTTGCACAACTTCAAACCAACTTCTATCCTTTCTAAGAGCTTCAGAAGAAAGCAACTAGACTTGCCTTTTCTGATTCCTAAAGATATTTAACCTCTCACTTCTGACTGATGGGGAGTCCCCGAATTACATTTTAAAGCTCCAACTCACATGGCCATCAGCAACCATAGACTCACATGCCTTAAGATGTTAATGGTTGCGAAACTTTCTGAGGAAGAGGCTCAAGGCTGCTTTGTAACGACCTGATAAGTGGCGTCAAGGACCACCTCCCCTGTTAATAGATTCCAGTTTAACATAGATGGCTTTCTTCATGCTTCGCTCAAACCAAGATAAACCAAGATAAGGGCAACAATGTTCACCTTCTGGACAGGGAAGACAGACAGATTGAGAAAGAAGAGAAGGAAACCATCTTTAGGCCTTTTCAGATGTGGGATATGTAGCGCTGCTGGTTTCATCAGTCTGTTAAAGTGCTGGTATTTTATCTTTCAGACACTATTTCGTTAATGTTCCTCACAGCTTTCAGACATACCCACCAAAGCTACGAACAGAGTAGTCACGGTACATGTGCAATATTTGTCATTTATGCAAGACTTAAGAGAATACTAAGTGCTGTATAATACGTGATAGAGCTAATATCAGCTTATCTGTGATGTATTTGGACCAATATTGTTGCTTAAATGTGGGAAAGGTCTTCCCTAAAATCTATTAACACAACCTAAAGTACCGCTGCATGTGAGTGTTTATTGGTTAAAGTGACTGCAAGCAGTTACCACGTTGAAGGTGACCCAAAAAAGTAAACTTTTTTTCAACATTCAGTTGTCGTCAGATAAACGGTTAAATGTGCATCTCTTTAAAAAGGGGAAGAGGCCAACAACACTTATCAGAAACTTAAAATGCAGTCTTGAGATGCCTCCATCGACAGTTTCAGCACCTTGACTCATTCGTCATCTGGCAGTTTCACGACCATTTACATCTTAACGCATGTGAGTCTTGGTTCATGTGAGTTGGTGGTGGGAATATATCTCAGTTAAAGCTAAATAAGCCTCCTGGATGAGCAGTGAAGCATCTTCAAGATCCAAAAAAATGGACAAATAAAGTTGTTTTTGGAAAGCAGAGAAGCTGGTTTGGGATCGTGCAAAAGCAAAGCAACTTTTGGGTGAGTTCATTAGCATGCTGCTTGTAAAAACAACAAAACTCTGATGAGGCAAGTACAACAGGCTGCAGAACTGATGCAAAGCAAACACAGTCCAGGTGACCCGACCTGTGGCAGCATGACCTTCAGTCTGGACTGAACAGGACTCACCTTGTCTCATATTTGGACAGTTTCCTCTCCTCCCAGGCTGTGTTGCCTCCTCCAAAGTTCTGTTTTGCTGTTCTGTCAAAGCCCTAAAAACAGAAAAAAAAAACTGGGTCAGCTTCATACAGAAAGAAATACATAAGACACTGCATTAAGCTGATGACATTTCAGGGGCTGCTAACAAACTATATCAGCCTGAAACGTCCATTCATACCACTGAAATGAAAACAACAACAATTAGAGGTTCAAAAGGGCTCTCTGACCTTGTTGAAGTTGTCCGTAATTTGCTGGCAGGTGATACAGGCGCTTTTCAAATCTCTTTTGGCGCCGGAGACTTGAGAAAGTAAAACAAGACTCACACAAAAGCATAGCCTGAGGAGCCGCAGCAGCTCCGGACCGGTGGACAGCATCTCAGCCGATCAGTTCAGGCACAGTTTCATAGCAGGACGCACGCGTCAGCCACTCGCAGGCAAGCTTTTCCTCTAATGCTAAAGTTCTACACAGTTGGGACACATCTAAACGAGCTGCTCTTAACATTAAACGGCCAGTACTGCTATCTATGCAAAGCGGAACAAAGTAGTATTTACATGCCGGCTGTTGGGGGGAAAAAACGATGCGGTTCTAGTTTTCCGCGTCAGCCTCTCAGTCGAATTGTGGCTCGTGACGATTGGCTGTAAGGGCCTGTCAATCAAATGCGCAGCCAATCACAGCCCGCCACGCGCGGGACAAAGAAAATACGTGGAAAATTCAAGAAGCTTCAATATTATATTTATTATAATAGTGTTTTCCTTTCCGGATTAAGTGTTCTATTAAATTTAAAAACAACATCCTAACTAATTCACTTGCAAAAAAAATTATGCAGCGATATTGAAACATATGGTTTAGTTCGCTTCCTGTGTTGACCGGAAGTGAAAACGCTTTCAGCTGTCATGGCTGAAAAAAGAACTGTTTTGGGGCTGCCACTGCTGTTTCTGTTAATTTCTGTGGCTTTCTTGCATTTATTAATATGTCCGTTTACTAAAGTTGAAGAGAGCTTCAATTTACAAGCGGCCCACGACATTCTGTACCACAGACTTGACTTTGACAAGGTAAGCAGGGCTTACATGCAGCCAATTGGTGTGCTAATAGGCTAACTGGACAAGCCAGGAATAAGCAACTTTTAGGGAATATTTAGGGAACGTTCCTGAAGGTTCCCGGAAGGTTTCTGTTTTCTAAGCGGTGTTTACAACAAACTGTAACTTTCCTCTAAAATTTTACCAAAAAGAACCTTCATGAAACACAAAATTGTGCTAGTTTTAGAAGCTCTAACATTTGTAGAGGAGGAAATTGAACAATAAAATCCAAAACTGTCTCAAACTGTGACTTTTCCAGAATGTAGCTTCTATTTACTCACTTATTTCATTTTAAAGCAAAGTCACAACTATTCACATTGCACATTTTAAGCAACAGCCTTTGTTTTTGCTTTGAAAAATATTAATCATTTACATTATAAATGAACCTATCAAGTTTAAATGGTAGCGTTAGAACACTGCAGTGTTGCTTTTGGTGTAAATTTATCAAAAAATAATTGACATTTTACAGATCAAAGCCCTACAAAAATGAACTCAAGCTTTACCTGACTGTAATAAATATCGAGGCTAAGACCTTACAGTATTCTTATTTATGGAGATTAACTTTACTAATTTATATATTCTGGCAGTGATCCTGCAATTATATTAATTGTCGAGATTAACGTAACTAATTGTGAACTAAATTAAAACCCTACAAAAATATATATGAAACCTAACGTATCCATGGATTTGTGGAGCAAATTTTGTTTTAATTTGTAATCTTATGTCAACAAACACGTCTACAAATTGTCCAACACAGCAAAACAAAGCCAAGGGTTCAGGTTTGTTTCCTTTAATGTGTTTGTTCTTTAAAATATGCTGATGTTTGTCAACACCAAAAGAACTGAGAAAACAGCAGACATCTTGTCTCAAGATCTGTTTCGCAGCTGTTTTGGAGCATTTGATCATATCACACAATCCTCATCTTCAGTTTATCTTGATTTAAAAAAAATCAAAAATCCATGACAAAACTTGCCCTATAACCCTTTCAAGGTTAAGATCGAACTTTTAAGGTCAGGAGAAAAAGGTTTTCTGTATAATTTTGATTGTATCAGTGTTGTTCAGAACCAATAAAGAGCTCTTTGTGTCTTCAGTACGACCATCATGAATTCCCCGGTGTGGTGCCACGAACCTTCCTCGGCCCGCTGTTCCTCTCCACGATCTCCGCCCCTGTTGTTTTTCTGTCCTCTCTGCTGGATGCACCAAAGTTCTACACACAGCTTATAGGTGAATTGATGACTCACTGATTGGTATTTATTTTCCAAACCACTTCGATGTTAAAATCAGCTTGCTTCTTGTGTAAACAGGTCAACAGATGGTAAATGTGTTGTGTTTTCTGTGCAGTTCGAGCCTCGCTGGGAGTTTGTGTAATCGGTGCACTATGGCACATGCAGAGGGAGGTGAGGAGGCAGTTCGGCTCCACAGTCGCCACCCTGTTCTGTCTGACTTGTGCTTCTCAGTTTCACCTAATGTTCTACAGCACAAGGACGCTCCCCAATGTGTTTGCACTTCCGATAGGTAACACTCATCAAAAACTTTCTTTCTATTTTCTTACGCCTTTTTTTGGAGTAAGTATCATAACAGTAACACTCTCTTCCCAGTTCTTTTAGCGTTCACGTCGTGGATGGCTCAGAAACATGGCCGGTTCATCAGCCTCTCTGCTCTGGTCATCATTGTGTTCCGCTCTGAGCTCTGCATCTTCTTAGGCCTCATGTTACTGATATCACTGCTGAGCAGGAGGCTGGGACTGCTGCAGATGCTGTACTATGCTGCTCCTGCTGGGATCTTGTCACTGGGTTAGTGGTGAATCAGTAGATATGTGAATAATGTATGCTGGGATCAGTAACTCATTTATCTGACAATGGTTTTGATTTTTTTGTTTTTGTTGTTGCTGCAGCTCTGACAGTTGCTGTTGATACTTTCTTCTGGAGGAAGCCTCTGTGGCCCGAGGGCCAGGTGCTGTGGTACAACACTGTTCTTAACAAAAGTTCCAACTGGGGAATATCCTTTCATTTGCTCAAGTACACTGTCATTTGTATTTCCTGTCAGTTATTTTACTTTCACTGCAAATTCTGAAGGTTTTTGAAGCCTCCCAAGTTCTCCTTGACTCCTGTCCCCAGTAAACTTCTCCCTTCCTCTGGTACTTTTACTCGGCGGTACCTCGTGCTCTGGGCTGCACGCTGCTCTTCGTGCCTCTGGGCCTCCTCGACAGGCGAATGAGGCTGCTGCTGCTGCCCACGGTGGGCTTCATTCTCATCTACTCGCTGCTGCCCCACAAGGAGCTGCGTTTCATCCTCTACACTTTCCCTGTGCTCAGCTTGGCGGCTGCACGAGGCTGCTCCTTCATGTAAGTTTAAACATAAAACCACAATGGTTACAGATAAAACAACACAAATCAGTCTCTTTTATCACTTCACAGTAAACTATGACTTTTGAAATAGAAAAAGATGAACAAATTAAACGTTTTTTGCTAAAATTGACCCAAAGTGCCTATGTTATAGACATTAATTCTAGTGCAATATTTCTTTTTTTCCTCATGTTCTTTAGTTTGTGCAACTACCAGAAATCCTGGATGTATAAACTGGGCTCTGCAGTGGTGGTCGGCCAGCTGTTGACCAACGCAGTGTACTCGAGTATTTGCCTTCACGTTTCTCACCACAACTACCCCGGAGGCAAAGGGATGCAGGAACTACACCGGCTGCTGCCAGACACAGCAGGTTGGAATCACCTCCAGCTCACACATCCTTAATAACATGTTTAAAATCAGCGGTGGAAGAAGTAATTAGATCTTTGACTCCAGTAAAAGTAGCAATAATGTAATTTAAAAAGAGATTTAATTAAATACGGTAAGAAGGGAAAGTTTTACACTCTGAGTAAAGCAATTATAAGTATAAAAATGTACTGAAAGTTTTTATTATACACCAAAATGAGCATGTTTTTATATGTTATGCTATTGGATTAGTATCGCCAATGCATTACGCAGCTCAAGTATTGTGGGCGGCCTGAGAAAGAACTGATTTAACTTTTTTATTTATATACAGTCAGGCAGCTTATTTTATAATGGAACAATTAGTTTTATTTGGTGACTTTCATTATATCTCGATATGTTTGTCAAGTCTTATTGAAAGGAAACTGCACCTGTCAGAAAACTATAATGGAGCAAAAAGTACAACAGTTGCACAAAATTAAAATATTTAGCAGTGCAACACTTACACAAATGTGTGAAGTTTGAAATGTGACCCATAATTATCAGAGTATGCAATCAGTTTCTATTTAATTTTGTTAGTTTGCAGAAGCCGTATGGCCTATATTGTTAAAACTATAATCACCAATATGCCATATGTTTGTATGGGAGACAAGAACCGCTGCTTTCTTTCTTAATTTTAGTTTCTGATTACAATCATACAAAGTGGTGTAAACATAATACAGGAAAATGTGCATAAGTAGGTCAGATTGTACATGTTCTCACACTGTTGTTTTTTTCTTCTTAAATCCAGATGTCTCCGTTCATATTGACACTTACGCTGCTGAAACTGGAGTATCACGCTTCTTAGAGCAAAACACAAACTGGAGGTTGGTGTGTTTTTAAAACAGTTTGACCTGAAATATGCCCCGTATTTTTTGTTTGTTTTTCAATACTTTGACTTACTTCCTCCACCAGATATGACAAACGAGAGGACTTGAGCCCCACAAGTCCTGAGATCAAAACGTACTCGCACCTACTGATGGAGGCTAATATCACCAAGATACAGCTGCTGCAGGACACCCACCAGCCTCTGGCCTTTATAGACGGCTTCCGCAACATCGCCTTCGATTTGTTTCACTTCCCACCTGTCAGTGTGCGTTTGGAGAGAAAAGCTGTGCTGATGAGGAGGAAGACTGACGCCAGGCTGCGGACAAAGTGACTCTAACAGGAATGTGTTTTTTTAAGTGACCAAAAGATAATACTGTTTAAAATCTTGACAAAGATGTGTATAAATATTTCTACAGGTATCACATTCCACAACAAATACTGGTGAGTTTTTTCTGCAGCAGATTATGATGTTATATTTATACTGTCAGGCTTCTTTTGTGATGTTTTTCTATTTTCATTGAAGGAAACAAGTCGGCATTCTTAAGTTGAGACCATTATGTTACGAATTCTTTACTTCAAAATAAGATCTGTATATTTTGTAGATAAGAGTTCTTAAATCAATAAAACTGTGACCACCTTAAAAGCTAACGACAGCATCTGCATTCTTGTACAATAATAATCTAATTTAGAAAAAAAACATCTGGAATAGTGTATAAGGAAAACCTTTATTTACAAATGACCACAAAATTTTTGCATTTTTCCAGTCTCAATGCTAAAACATTTATCAAATTAGGTTCAGAAGTTATTTAATATAAAAATGTACAGTACATTGTTTTACTCAATAATAAACCCATAATTTAATCCCCTGGACATAAACTTAAATTGTGCTTAAGAGACAAATTGTATATTCCAAACAACCCCCTTATTCTGAAAATACAGCAATAATATACACGATCTTATTAAAAACATTTCAGCAAGTAAAAAAAAAAAAAAAAAAAAAGTCTATTTCTAAATGACAGTACCATGAGCCACAAATTCACAATGAAAATTAAATAACATTAACTTAAAATATCTTTCTGTCACAGCATTTTATTTTTGGGCCATGTTTTCATCCAGAAAACAACGCTGCATCTATCATTAATCCATAACAATCAAAAGAAGAGGAAAGAAAAAAAAAAAAAAAAGCATCCTGACGTGATCTGCGCAAACTTTTAACAATATTTACAGCATTTTGACCTGAAGTAGTTTTGGATAAGGCACAAGGAGAGAGTAGACAGAGAACAAAAAAACAAAAAGAAAAAAAAAAAGAAAAACATCGATTTACAAGCAAACACATTATCACCAACCCCTACAGCTAGAAAAAAAAACAAAAAAACAACCCTCCCTCCCTGATACACTTCTGAGACTTTTCATCACAACAGCTCCAAAGTGTTTAACAGTAGTACACAGAATACAATAAAACCTCAATCTGGCCTTTTTGCATTGAGAATCAATCAGTGTATAAATCGATATTTTACATTTTTGCCCAACAGAAAACCCCCCATTTCACAGCTATGCAACTTGGTCCTTGATAAAGGGTTTTCAAGTTTATGCTCAATATTAATCAGTACTGAAAATAAATCAAAGGGAGGTTGACCTTGAGGAACAGCAGACCCTCCATGTTGTCCAGCAAAGGCCTGGGTTGATTCAGAGCACAGTTGACACTCGCTGTGCTGAACAGTGTCTCTGCTGGGATGATGCTGGGAGGACAGCCCACGTAACGGGCGGCTACTTTGGCAAGATCGGGCCACAGGAACTTTTTCAGGTTCCAATAGTCAAGGGGGTCACAGCTTTGATCAAGTATGTCTTCCTCAAGGTACTCCTGCACTGTCAGCTCGGAGGACTTTGGCTTCTCCTCGTGCTTTATGTTTTGCTTGATGTCAGACATTAGGGACCAGAGGTTGTCCTTGCCTGGGTGGGAGGTGCTGGATGAAACGGCGGCCTCGTCGCAGCCGTTGGGCAGCAGAGACTTAGCTGCATCTGAGGTAGAAGAGTCCAGCTCCTGGATCAGATCCTGTTTACATCGCTCGGCTTCTTCCTCTGTGAACAGCGACGTTTTGTAGCGCGGGTCCAGCATGGTCGCCCAGGCGTACCGCGGGTCGTGCAGAGTTGCAGACATTCTGCCCACCATGGCTTCCTTTAGAGACTTGAGCATGGTGTCGATGCCCACGGTCTCGTCAAACAGCAGGTCTATTTTTCTGTTGAGGATGTGAATGAGTGGTATCACTTGTCCCAGAGTGGCAGTGCGGTTGCTCATCTCCCTGCAGGCGACTTCGAAAGGTTTCAGTGCATTGCAGACCGACAGCATCACCTCCCACTGGTCGCAGCTGATGATTTCCCTGAAATTGCACTCGATCGACATCTCGTCGATGGCTGCCTTCTGCTCCACCATCCGCTCCAGCATGAAAAAGGACGTCCTCCATTTGGAGGGAACATCCTGAATCAGCTGGTTCTCCGGCAGCTGGTGGGCCCTCTGGAGCTCAGCCAGCTTCTCCTTGGCCTTTGCTGAGCGGTGCACACGTTCACAGATCTTTCGTGCAATACTCAGAAGGTTCTGAACCATTCTCTGGCTCTTTATGGCTTCGCTTACAATGAGGTCTATAGTGTGCCCAAAACACTGCATGGTGACGTGGCCGTGGTCCTCCAGGGTGTTACTGATGGTGTTGTTATCAGTTACAGTGAACCCCTTTCTCAGCCCTGATGAGGTGATCCAAGAATCCCACAGATACTCAAGCTGCTTTGGGATGTCATGCATATCGTGATCACAGTCTATTTGTGAGACACTTAGGAGAGCGGAACAGTGAAAGTCTTGACCTTGGGGTCTGACACTTGACTCGTACGTTGCCCAGTGGGCGGTAAGGGTCAGGTATTCCCTAGTCTGGCTACTGACCCAAATACTTGTTGTGAAGTGGACAACACCACCTTCAGCCTCTTTCAGGTGGGTGAGCACCACATCCTTCACCCTTTCGTACATATCTGGTATGGCAGTGCTGGTAAAGTAAGAAGAAGGTGGTAGAGAATACTGAGGCTGGAGGTACTCTAGCAGTCTGTTCAGTCCAGCATTCTCCACCATAGCTGATGGCTGAAGATCCAGTGCGAGCATTTCTGCGATAAGTTTGGTGATTTTTTTGGCAACCGGGTGGTGTTCATCAAACCTCTCACGGCTCTGTTCCGGTTCATAAACAGGAGTGTCCATGAGCTCTTGTTTAACGCGAATTTCAGCAGACGGCACATCACCTGAGATAGTATTGTTACTTTCAAGAACATGTCCATGAAACCTCTGCATGTGCCTGAAGAGGCAGCTTGTGCCGAGGTTCGTAGTCTTTTTGCCTCTGCTAATTGTGCGGCTACAGTGCAAACAAACCACCTTTGTAGGGTCAGCAGGTGAAATGGAGAAATGGTTCCACAGTTTTGACGTCTTTTTACTGAAAACAGGCAGGGTTTGGGGTTTTTTCTCACTGGCATCGCTCTCAGTTTCTTTGGCTGAAACTGTATCCGTTGTGGTGAGATTGGTGTAGGGATGAGGAGAGGATTCCTTGTCGTCTGTGCTTTTTTGGTTTTTGAGGACGTCCGGGTGACGTCTCATGAGATGCCTCATCAGGCAGCTAGTACCAAAATCGCCCCGCTTCCCCCGACTGATGACACATGGACAGTAACGGCACAGTGCTTTTAACTGGTCAACTGGCGACACTATGAAATGGTGCCACACTTCGGATTTCACCCGTTTCATGATCTTCTTGTTCTGCTGGAAAACTGAATGATCCTGATTGAGGCTGGGGCCTTCGGAGAGGTCACACGGTGAGGAAGTCAGGGGTGTGTCCTCCCCCTGAGCTCTGAAGGAGAAGTTGAGAGAGGAGTCCTGCCCTGAGAGATGCATCATCTCATCAGATTCCTCTTTAATATCCATTCTGTCCTCCATGCTTTGGGGTAGTTCGTCTGATATGGTTTCTGGCGAAGATGGAAGAAGTGGCGATTCTTTTTTAGCTTCCAGTGGATCCTGTAGCTGTGTGCGTGATAACAGTGAGGGTGGGTTTGTATAGGGTGGGGGAATGTGGTTGCCCTGTCCATTTTCCTCAATCACAACCTCTTTGTGGGCTCTCCACATATGCCGAATGAGACAGCTCGTCCCGAGATCCTTCCCATTTTTACCCCGACTGAACTCATTCATGCAATGGATACATACTGCTTTGGAATTGTCAGCAGGCGACAGGTAAAAATGTTTCCATACAGCCGACCTGCGACGAGAACTAGAGCTTTTTGGGGTCCCCGGAAGGCGCTCGGGCCCTCCGTCTGACATCTCTTCGAGGTTGTTTTCATTGGAATGTGAGGATGAGAGCATGCTGCAAACAGTGTCGGTATTGGCGTACGGTTCTAGTTTTGGTTCGACTTTGGGTAACACTTCTTTGGATGACAGGTCTGAATTCTCAGCTGAGGAGGTGGACGGTGAAGTGTTCTTTGAGGCAGAAGTAATGACGCTATTTGTCAAGTCTCCGTTATTTGGTGAGCTTGGGGAGGGAGGTATGAAGGATGAGGCGAAGGAGCTAGTCAGGTGATTTGAGGATGCGTCTGCTCCGTCTTGTAAAAGCACAGTGGGGTGAGCCCTTCGTACGTGCCTCATTAGACAACTGGTGCTGAGGTCTTTTTCGTTCTTACCCCGGCTGAACTCTTTCATGCAGTATAAACAGATTGCTTTGGTACTGTCTCGTGGCGATATGCAGAAATGATTCCATGCAGGAGATTTTTTCCTCGGGTTTGTATGACTCCTCATAGATGACAAAAGGCTCTGAGTGACAGCGTCCATGGCAACATCATAAAGGGTGCTTGTGTATCCACTTAGTAAATTGCTATAGTCATCACCGTCTCTAGTTACAAAAGGGCCAATCGAGCTACCAAATGCCAGCCTTTCATCATCCTGCAGGTCCTCCTCCATTCCATTTGCATCCCCAGTCTCGTCTTTGAAGTCATTGCCATTTTCATAGTTCTCATTCTCTGCGTTTACCTCGCTATCAGTGTTTAGGATTCTGTCTGAAAGACTGGGAGAAGCTGGGTCAGTCTTACTTGCTTTGTCTGACTCCAACAGTGTGTCATCCTGAGAAGATAAATGAAAACAAGAGAAGGAGTCTTTATCCAGTGTTAGTGAGGAGCAAGTAGGTGACCTTGCGTCAGCAGTGTCGTGAGGGTTAATGCTGTAGGATTTGAACACGTAGCCATCCTGCCCCTCAATTTTCAGGCAGGTCCCTTTCGCTTCTCTTTTTTTGCTTTCTATGGAGCCATTAGGGTCACCGACCACATCCCCACTCATGTGAGAAACCTCTTCCTCCCCATCCATGGCAGCAGCCCAAGGGTTTCTGTAGAATAGTCAGGTCTGCGTTGTCAAGCGTGCTCACTGTTTTCAGGTGTAGTCATCGATACAGCAGCTCTCAAGCAGGTGTTGTGGTGTGTGTGTTGCTGTCCGGGACACAGAGCGCCTGCTTGTCCCTCTCCATTTATGACTGAAGGCTTTCCACTTCTCTGCACACGACCTGGAGGCAGACAGAGGGAGAAAATGGATCAGGTAAATGTATTCTGGAAAGTAAATAAGATTACAAAAACAGGTGATACAGATGGCGTGTTGCTCCAGTTTCCTAAAACTGATGTATGCATGCTGCAAAAAAAATCACAATTTAACTTAAATACTGACCATGTTGACTTTTATTTGAGACAGGTTTTTGCTAATAAACATAGAATTGAATTTGCAAGCACCATCTAAAGATAACTTTGCTCTGGAAAGTCACGCTGTTTTGTTGACAGGTGCAGGTTCAGCCAGGCTTTATGCACCCACCTACTGCGCCACAGCTTTCATATGTAACGAAGTTACCTGGGAAATATTAATCATGCATCCTAAAAAAAAAACACTGCTGAAAGCGTCTTCCACAGAACTATTGCTCAATTGAGTTAGCCTTTTAAATTGCAACATCCTGA